ATATATATATATATATATATATATATACGTCGGCCACCAGTTGCCCATCCTTGATAAAGATGTGAATATTGTATGAAATTAACATTACTTGTGAATTATGATGTTACTGTAAAAAGATTATGACATCGCAAAAGTAACATTGGGCAGGAAAGGCTGTTGTGGCTGTCAGCAACATATTTAAGGAAAATTAACATGGCTGMCAAAAGATGATGCAATAATAAACCAGACCTATAATTATGAGAGTTTAAGCCAATATAAATTTACAATTAAATCCTAGATGTAGTAGACGTTTATGTCTCTGCTCTGATAATGTTGAAGGATTTAAGTTTCATAATTAAACAAATTATTTAGAGATTGTCAGCTCTATGGGAGAGTTACTTCTTTCAGACGGGCAGCATGGGGGCACAGTGGTTAGCTCTGTTGCCTCACAGCAAGTAGGCCACAGGTTCACATTCTGACCTTTCTGAGTGGAGCTCACATGTTCTCACAAATATGTTTATTTTCCCTGGGTAATTAGGTTTCCGCCCACATAAAAATACATAAACAGACACTATATTTACAGATAAACATATGCCACGTATTGGCATTCATTCTGGGTCCAGACGAGGTACAGCAACACAACGTGACGTTTACATTTTCTCCAGTGTGTCTAACAGTATCAACAGAGACTTTTCCTCAAGGTAACCTAATAACATCAAATCAAAATGTATTTATAAAGTGGATTTCATTCTTAAAGCAACCTAATGTGCTTTTAAATAGGAACATAAAACATGGAAAAATGTTTTGATGAGATTATTCTTTGAAACGAACAACTATTCTGTTTTGTTTTCCATTTTGCTGCTGTACATTAACATCCACCTGCCCATGACACTGTGAACCTGTTGATGCCCGTGACCTGGACAAGATGCAGGATATCACAATGTTGAAAAAGGTCCAGTACAGTCACTTGGTTCTTTAATTCTTTGTGCATACCATGACAACCCCTGTTGTTTGGGGCAACCAGAGCCATTGCCCAACATGTAYGGGTTCTTTTACTCCGTGGTTGAACATGGAGCCACTGTGACATCTGATGGCCCGCAGGTTGGACAGTTGTATAATACAACCAACACCATGCAAACCTTCAATCCGACCCCTATCAAATGCTCTGGCAACTGCCTGATAACACCATTGCTCATGATGTCACCACTTACGCTGTTCTTAATGAGCAAGTTCCTTACAAATCAAATTATTTTCATAACTTGTCTGCATATGTACCAAATTGCATATACTCAGACCATTCATTTTCAAATTAAAGTGGACATGGTTGGGGTCTATATGAAGTGGAACTCCACAAGATCCTCCTTCACCCCCTTTTCTGAGGTGTGTCTCGGATCAACTCGTTTTGAGGCTGTCTCTTTAAATCCCAACCAGGTGCTCCGCCCCGCCACACACACACATTCTGGTTTGATAGCAAAGATAAGACTAACAGCGCAGAAAATTTTGTTTACAAATTAATTAAAGGGGCAATATTATGTGTTTCTCAGGCACGTATTTAAACTCTTTACAATAATAAAGTAACCATGTCATCTTCAGTTGTTATTAAAATTCTGTTTATATGTATAAATAGAAAATAAACTTGACTTCTCTTCATATCTGTTTCTAAATGCCTTGAAATTGGCCTCTGTCTCTTTAAGAACCTCCCTCTGCTTCTGTCCYGCCCATTTCAGCACGGGGCCGGGTGGGGGAGGTGTGCTCTGTGACGAGGAAGCTCAGCTTGGAGACACAGCCCAGAGGAGGAGCTGGTCCTAAAAGGCGGTTCTAGGTTCAACCGGTCGTTTTTGTTCCCCTGCCTGGCTGCCTCAGGAGGACACTACAGGATTTCTCAAACATGCATGAATGAGTCAAAGCAAGACTCTGGATATGTTTTTGACAAGAGGATAACATTATAACATGATATACAGTAAAACTCAAAAAAGTTGATTTAACATGACATTGCCCCTTTAAAAGATGCCAACAAGGGAAGACTTGTTCAACCAGCTCTACATGCTGGAGCCAAAGCCTGACCCAGAACCAAAGGAGAATGAAGACGATCAAATTGTAGTTGGTAACCGTCACAAACACTTCAGAAATAGTTCAGATCATACAAGAGAATTGAACAGATTAAAAAATATGACTCAAACAGCATATAAAGATATCTAAATTAAATTGTTCTGCACTAGAGAAGTACAAAATGCATTTAACAGCTACAAAAGTGGATTTTGCTTGATATGAAACTTTAAAGCAAATAAAATAAATACTGAATTACATTGTATGCATTGTTTTATGGAACTTAAGTACTGGGAAACAAAGGTACTGGGAAACATAAGTACTGGGAAACATAGAGGTGACCCTGTTTTCAAATAGCCTACCTAATTTCCTGGTACCCATGTTCCTRCCTGTAATGTTATTCAGGTACTGGATGGACCCGGGGAAATTGTATTGTTGTGAATGACCACTGATCTGTGATTGATACACACAATATTAAAGCAATCTTCTTAGTTCTCTTTTTCGAGACCTAGGTAGATCTCCCCAAAACAAGAGAAAAAGTCTCTTGGAGGTATGCCCTAAAACCAACAGGAAGTCGGCCATTTTGGGTCAAAGGTCAAATTTTGGCTGATTTTTAATTTTGCTCACGTTGAACTTTTGCGAACTCCTCCTAGGGATTTTGACCTACCGACTTCAAACTTGGTGAGTATGCTGCTAAGACATAGGGGATTAAAAGTTATCAAAATGGTGAGTTTTTGAGCATGCTAATGGGGTGTGGCCAGGCCTCAAAWATGACCTTCTTGCCAACATTTTCGAAACGCTGTAATTTTCACATAGAACGTCTGAATTACACCAAACTCACTGTGAGTCATCTCTGTGGCATGCCCAACAATACTCTGAGGTTGTATAACACAACAAGGTGGTGAGCATCAGATCATGTGTTTTGATTTTTCTTTAATATGGGTAGCTGTTGTGATAAAGTTAAGACCTTTTTGGGTAATTACACACGTACAGTCGTTTTTATCAAATGTAAATCGAACAAACACAGTTGTGTTGTTTGATTATAAAAGACCATTCAAAATCATTAAACAATAAAATGATTTTACTATACTG